TGAATTGTTTTAATTGGCTGTTTATTAAAAATATTATGCACTCTTTCAATTATCCAATTAAAACTAGGGATTTAATTTAAATATTTAATATTTGCATAACTAAAAAAAAGGTTTTTACAATTTTTTTTATATATTTTACTGTTTTGTTGCAATAAACGTTCAAACTTTTAATCTAACCTTTGACGTATACATTTATGTTCCCTTAATTAATATATCCTTAAAGGTTGCCATGAAATCTATTAAAAATTTATTTGACGTTTGAATCGTCATTTTCAGTATTCTATAATTTTTGTTTAGTTTTTTAAAGTGTTTTTTATAAACAAAAATGAAAAATTGTAGTAAAAGTTAAGAAGAAATTCATGAAATTTAACTAAGGACCGGTTTATTCATCTTTAGTAAAGTTTATCGGGCCGATAACTTTCATGTCTTGGCAATATCTAGTATCCAAAGAAATTATTCGTCAAATAAATCAAAAATGAATAAATCGGCCCTAAATAAAATGTGGCACCCTTAGAATTATTGTTTAATAAATGTATACTATACATTTAACCTTAAATTAAAACTTTAAACGTGTATTACAACAAAACAGTAAAAGATATAAAAAATGTATAGACCTTTTTTTAGGAAATTAACTAATCTTTAATCTGATTTAAAAAGTTATGATAATATTTAAATAAAATCGCAAGTTTTAATTGGAGAATTGAAAGTGTGCATACATATTTTTAATAAACATCCAATTAAAACAAAATTAACCGTCAACTTTTTTTTATTTTGATCTTAAAATTTTAGTTGTGACCTAATTAACAAGAATATAAAAAAATTAGGTTTCACAGAAAGTCCAAAAATCACCTCTCAGAACAGCACCGTGAATATACGATTTTTCCAAGTTTTAAAATACAATAAACCGCATAATTTAAAAAAGTTGACTTAATACCCTTTGACTTTAAGGTCAAATTTATAAAATAGAAGGTGATATATTTCATTTTGCCGATTATAACAATTAAATTATTATACCTACCCCTGTTTATTTAAATAAGAAAAAACAACGCATAACATCTTTTTAAATTATTGTATAAATTAATTAATTTATTAGTTATTGTATTCATTTCTTTTTTTTTATTTAGAAAAAAATTTGACTGCATCAACCACAAAGGGTTATTAGCAATATACATTTACAAACATATAAATCATATTTTGTTATACAGGGTGTCCTAAAATTAGTGCATCATACTTTAACAGCAGATTCTACGTGCAAAAATAAGAAAAAAAGTCCCTATAAACATAGGTCAAGAAATGCCTCTTAAGGGAGCTACAGCCCCCAAAAGGAAAGCCCCTGAAGATGGTTTTTATTTAATATCTCCAAAACCGTTAAAGATAAAAAAGTGAAATTTAGGGAATTAATTAAACTTTGTATGACCAATAAGACGCAACAATAACAATTTAAAAAATTTCCTGAGGTTTGGGTCAGATTGATAGGAAGTGGGGTTAAAACCACCTTAACTTTTTTGTACGTATCTTGTACCAGAATTTGATGTTAGATTATGAAATTTTGGAGTTTTGAACATAAAAAAGGTCATCTTGTTGAACTTCGTTAACATACACCGTTTTCGCTTAAAATCGATTTGAAAATTATTTTACATGGCATAAAAATTCACAATTAAATCACAACCATAAAAATGGACTCGCGTGGACCTTGGAAAACGACTGCCATGTTTAGGAAAAAATAGAATAATTCAAGACAGGTGACAGTTTCATGTAGTAAGTGACAGGGTGTTTCTACTTTTTTATAAAAAATAGAAAAAATCATATTCAGGGGCTCCCTTTTCGGGGGCTGTAGCTCCCTTAGGAGGCATTTCTCGATCTATATTTATAGGGACTTTTTTTCTTATTTTTGCACGTGGAATCTGCTGTTAAAGTATGGTGCACTAATTTCGGAACACCCTGTATATATTAATGGTTTTCAGAAAGTCTAAAGTATTTTCAATTTGTGGGCCCAAAGCTGTCCTTAAGTTATCTGGGATGTGGTGTGTTGTGTTCTTTTCCTAGTATATTTTGAGCATTCCATAATTATGTGTTTGGTGCTTTTGATGGTGTTACATTCATCACAGAGACCGATGGGTTCGTTTTTAAGGACGTTTCTATGTGAAATGGCAGTGTGCCCAATTCTAAGGCGATTTGTGATGGGAGTGGTAGGTTTTGTTCAATTTTTGTTTGGACTTCTTTTAATTTACTGTTTTGTGCTGACCAAAGTTCTTGCCATTTTGCGTTAATATAATTTTTAATAAGAGTGACATGGTCTTTATGTGGGATTTTTTCAATCGAGGGTGTTCCGTTTTCTTTTGCTGTTTCTGCTGCCAGTCGATCAGCTTCTTCGTTGCCTTTGATACCAACATGTAAAGGAACTCAGATAAATTTTATTTTGTTGACTGGAAAATTGCAAATTTCTTGACGTATAGTTTGAAGAATTGGATGTTGTGGATATACTTGTTTGAATCCCATTAGGGCGCTTAATAAGTCACTTATAATTAGGCATTTTTCTTCTAAATGGGAGCATACCTTAATGGCTTCTAGGATTGCGATCATTTCTCCGGTGTAAATACGGCAGTATTTTGGAATTTTTGTGGATACTCTAATTCCATTTCCAACGACAGCCGCACCATGTCCAGTTTTGGTTGTGGCAGCATATGTGCAGATTAGTTTGGTGTTTGGGGATTTTGCAATTAGAGAAAGAAAGGTATTTTGAATAATTTTTGGGTGTGTTGACTGCTTAGGAAATTTTGCTAGAGTTAAATTAATTGATGGTATTTTCTTTAGAGCTGTTTTACTTGCTGTTTGGTAACATATTGATCCGTAATCAATCTTACACCTAATAGTAGATCTATATATCGACATCAGAATTGTTGTGTCTGACCCCCAGGTATGATGGGAAAGTGTTTTTAGGTTTAGTCTATTTTGGCAGGACAGTAGGAGTTTGTTTAAATTTATTTTATTAATCTAAACCTCAAAAATTAATAAGGACTTTTAAAAAATTATAATTTAGTTACTTTCCTTCAATTTAAAAATTAGATAGATAATGCTTTACAAAAAAAAATATTAAATTATAATATCAATTATAATTAACACAAACATTAAAAAAATTTTTAAATTAGATTTTCCAAATAATGAAATTATGCTTAGTAATTAAATTATAATTTGAAAAAATACAAACTCGAACATTAACTTCTATATTAGTTGAAAACGAAATAGTAATAACAATAATTTACAGAATAAATGTATAATTAAGCGGTTACTGAGTACGCACCCATTATGGTGCAAATTAAGAAATAACTTATAATTACAAAAATAATAACAGATTTTATAGATGATTTAATTTAAAAAGAAAAATTTTGTGGACATAAAAAAACTCGAGGGTCTTAATTTTTATATGCTATAGTGATACAAATATTTTGTATTTTAATAATACTAACATGTATCATTTAAATTTTCAGTAGTAATATTACAAAATAATGAGAATAAATTGAAAATAATACGACAGACTTTCGTAAACATGGAAGGGCTCGAGTGTCTATTACCAAATAGCAACAGGTTTGAGAAAATATCTCGAGAATTATATATATATATATATATATATATATATATATATATATATATATATATATATACAGTGTGACCCATTTGTTTGCGACTCACCCCTGTAAAATCTTCGTTTTAAAGTGTAGATCTTGATAAAGTGTATTTTTAAAGCATAAAACGCCATATTTTACAAAATACAAGGCCTACTATGTCAGTTTTTAAGAGTAAATTTTTAAGAATTCATATTGGCGATTTTTTTAAACAAAATCTAGGCACGGCACTGGATTCACCACCCCTTAAAACGACCCTATACTAAATTTTATTGAAAAATTTTAAGAAAAAAAATGCACAATAATAACTACAAAAATTTATTTTGTCAAGTTATCCATTAAAATTAAATTAAATTAATAATAACATGGTACTATAAGTTTTGTTCATGGATAACTTGACAGAATAAATGTTTGTAGTTATTATTGTGCATTTTTCTACTTAAATGTTATAAGGGGTGGTGAATCCAGTGCCGTCCTTAGATTTTGTTTAAAAAAATCGCTAATATAAATTCCGAAAAACTTACTCTTAAAAATTTACATAGTAGGCCTTGTATTTTGTACTAATATGGCGTCTTTTGCAAAAGACGCATGCTCAAAAAATACAGTTTATCAAGATCTACACTTTAAAACAAATCAGGTTAAAATCGCACAAAAAGTTTTTAGAAATGTAAAAATAATATTTTTTCTGAAATTATTTAAAATATAAAATATTTGTATTTAAATGACTAAGCTGCAAAAAATGTATTTATAAATATGCATATTAATTCTGATAAAATTAGAATTAATACATAGTATAAAAAAATTAGGTTAGTTTCCAAAAAGAGTGGCCAGTTTGTATTGTTGTTTTTATTGATTGGGACAGGGCCTAAAATTTATGTTTATGATTTAATACTATTATAAAACATTTAATAAAAACTTTATTTTTGTAAATCTACAAAAAACATATTTTGTCTTGATATATTTATCTATGTACAATATATAGTTAGGTTTAAATTTTTGTGGGTTAAAATTATCAAGGCTTTTAATTGTTTGAACAAACATATCTTGAAACACTTCTAATTTATTTTTTAAATTAGCATATTACTAAATAGCCACTTATTTAGGTATTTCATAAAGTTCGCCAAGCAATCAGCCAAAAGACTTTCAAAAGTGATATTATATGAAAATAATGTATGAACGACCAGAAATTGTTGTGTTACATTCACAACCTAGTGACCTCCGGCACAATTAAATTTGGCAGGACCCATAACCATCGCCGTACCGTTCTTCTCTCGGGTACATGTGTGAAAGTAGATGGCTTCTTCCGAAGACGTCTTTACGCTTCCCACCCCCTCTATCTAGACGAGTATAAAACATCCAGACTATCTGGCAATCGGCACAGTCACCACTCGACCAGTCAACTCAAGCATCATGAATACATATACCGTGGTAAGTGCACAAAAAACAACAGTGATAAACTACAGAATTTGGATTACGCGAGTGTTCTACAAACACAATATTGCTGTGGAATTATTAAGTGATTTTTCGAGATAAAATTTGTGTTAATTTAATTGTGTCTCTTATGCCTAGTAATTGAATGGATATTTGTTTAGCTTCCGAATAAAATAATCAATCGCTTTCTATGCGACATCATGGGAAAGTGATGGTTAGAAAGTAATTGTACTACCAGTAGGTAGCTAATGTATGTTTGTTTTGTTTAGGTTCTCGCCTTCGCCCTTGCAGCCGTGGCAGTTGCCGAACCCCCATCCGGGTACAGCTACAGCCGGCCTGGCGGCGGCGGTGGTGGCGGTGGATACTCCCTTGGTGGCGGCGGAGGCGGTGGCTACTCCTTGGGAGGCGGCGGTGGACTGTCCGGAGGTGGTGGTGGTTACACAGCTGTATCTTCCGGCTACCAGACCTCCGAAGGAGCCTCTGTCGATCCAGCTCTTTTGGAACAAGTTCGTCAGATCCTCCTTAAAGAAGAACAAAACTCTGCTTCTTCTTCTGGCTCCATCGGAGGTGGTGGAATCAGCTCATCCTACGGAGCCCCATCTTCCCAATACGGAGTCCCATCTTCCTCTTACGGAGCTCCAGGTGGTGGCTACAATGCCCGCGTTGTTGGAATCGACCTTGAAGGAATCAAACAAGCTATCCAAGTAGCCCAATTCCAGCAACAATCTCAACAAGCTGGTTTCGGCGGATACCCAAGCGGACCAGCTGCCCGTCCCTCCGGCTCATACGGAGCTCCTTACTAAACGTAAGCGCTCCTCCGAGTCTCCATCAACATCAAAAAACAAAGAACTGAGAACTAAGTGTAAATAACATCACATTCCATCCTTTACACATTACACGGGTCCATGATGCATCCCAACAACATCTCGAGTGATCAACAACACCATGCATTACATCTATTTTTATTTTTGTATAAAGCTTTTTGTAGGTTATGTTAAAAAAATACATTTGTCACCGTAACACAAGACTTTTAATTAAATTCAACCCACCAACCCTTAAAAATTCAAAACAATCGTACATAATTAAATTAAAAAAATACTTTCGCAAAAAAAAACTTTTAATGTAAAATTTTCAAAATTATCATAAATACTTTAATAATAGTTAACAGAAAAAAAATCTTTTAAGTATATGCATATTTTAATTTCTAAAACAGAGGTATTTGCCTTTTTAATTTTTAACGTAATATAAAAATGTCTTTTAATAGGTAAGCCTATGTATCTGTGTAATAACATTTTTATGTGCAATCCAAAAATCGTTGAAATGCCTACCTAATTTTCAGTTGCAACAAGTGGTGTAGCAAGTGGTTCATTGTTATTCAGAGCTGTTATGAAAACAAGATTTCTCACAAAATATATCTTGCATCCGAATTTAAATAAATAATTATATAAAGGTAATTTTATTGTGTCAGATAAAAAACATTAATAAATGATTCATGCAAATATGAAAGTGTGCAGATGAGAATTAACAAATGCGTACGTTATGTTTAAATAGTAAATGATTAGAAAGTAATATTTATTATTATTACTTAAAACAACAAATATTACGGAACATCTTTTTAATTTTTCGTAAGGTTGATTGACCATTGACTATTAAAATTATTAAAAAAGGAATCAGGAATCATGAATTGTAGTATGAAGTATAAATTTAGTACAAAGATAATATATTTTTTTTAATTAAAATTTAGTACATATTTGTTCCTACCCTAATGCAATGTATTGGATACTTACCCCTAAATAAATTATTATTATTAAATTAACCCCAGAATATATTTTGGAGATGTAAACTCTCTCAAGATGAATTAGTTAAAAATGACTAATTGTCATAGCGAAAAAGCAGCCACAAATAATTCTCGTCTACAGCAATCAATTCAGTAGCGATAAATTCCTATATAAAATTGTCCGTTAAATTCAAAAATGTCGTCAAAAGTTATAAAAGTAAAACAGTTTTTAAGATATAAACCGTTTTCCATATAATAAGAAATTGATTATGTCTCAAAAACTGCCCTACTTTTATAATTTTTAACGGTCTTTTCGGATTCAGGGAACAATTTTACATAATAATTGGCTCTTAAATGTCCGGTATACAAATTGCTGTACAGTTATTAGTGACTGCTTTTTCACTTTGAAAACCAATCATTTTTGACTAATTCATTTTTAGAGAGTAGGTACTTATGTCAAGTATTTTTTTTAATTGTACGGTTTTAAATGTTATTGGGTTAACATTACAAATTTAAATATCTTTATAAAAAATAAAATGTAAATTTGTCATCATAGGGGCAGTTGCCCAACGAAAAACATATTTTTTCAAAATATCTTCGAAATTTTTGGATAAATAAATAATGAACATTTCAGAGTTTGGTATAAAATAAACTGCAGAAAAGATTATTGGTTTTTAGGCATGAGAATGAAGATGATTATGAGGCTACTGCAGTACTAGTACATGTATACATGTAAATAACGTTATATACAGTAGAATGCTAATTTAAATGAATTAGCTGCAGTTTTACTTGAAAACATGAAACATAACACTGGATATTTTAAGATATAAACCACCCTTAAAAGTGTACTTATAAATAACAAAAAAATAGTCATAAGTCATCCAAGGATGCCTTTAACCTGTAATTTATTGTTAATAAATATTTAGATTTTTTTTTTGGATTTTAAAATTTGGATGAGCATGCATATTTTAATTCGAAATTCATTTAATTTTCAAAGATACTTGTTAAAAATTCAATTTTTAAAGTTTAACAATTTCATTTTAAGAGTTTCATTATTGAAGTTTGTTTTGATTTCTCCTTTTCTTTTTGTAAATTATGTAAGCGTACATTTTGCAGCAAAATACTTTGCTTGGAAACGCCAGTGACTGTTTTTAGGTTAGTGGTTACAACTTCGATTGAATAAAATCATGACCACCTTTTATTGCATATTGGTATCATTTCATGTGTCTATCTTTACAAATAAAAAACTTACAGGGGTGCGCCTATTCTCAGATACACCCGGTATAATATAAAAATATGCAATAGTGAATAAAATTATATACATTATTATTATTACAATAAAGTGTTTTTTGTTTTATTAATAAATATTCTTGGAAAGTAAGGGTGGAACTAAAGAAAAAACACTTTTGTATTTAACTTTTTTGTTGTATTATATCGTAAGGTTTAATTTGGACAACCTTTATGACTAACAATACAATATTGTTTTTTTGGAAATTTCTTGAGCTGCTAAAAAAATAATTGTTATGCTAGTAGGTATATTGTATATTGAATCAAAAACAAAATAATATTTTGTTAAATCATTTAACTTAAATGTCGATAAGCTACTACGTATTAATGTATGCTTTAAAAACAAACACATTGCATAGCAAAATAATTCTAATAATATTTTAAATATTATGTGCACGTAAATATTTTGAAAGCAAAAACAATATTGGGTAAATCCATTTTTTGTTTTTTATATTAAAATATTGTGCTATTAAAATAATAATTTTTTGCAAAAACAATTCTAGAAAATTTCCAAATGACAAATTTTATTGCTACTTTATAGTAAATACGTCTGTATACAGACGTAGCAGGATGTGTTTGTGAAAGTAATTTACGTGAAGATTTGCAGGTATTTTAGTAATGAACTTTTTTGCAATAAATTTACTCCATGATTGCAATCATTGCATTATTTGTATTTATTTGGGATTTACAGGAAAACGGTTTATATAACTTCACTATGAAGCGAATTCACATATGCAATTAACTTTGATCTTAACGATACCTGTTAAGTGGCGAAATGGCGAATGCGCCGTGATTAATAGGCATAACTTGTCACTGTCACAACAATTAAACTTCCTTTTGATGAGATTTTAATCTGTTTATATTATATTGTTTTAAAAATATTGAAATACAAGAAGAATAGTATATTGTGCAAGTAGTGGGAGAAAGAGGAGATTCCCCGAGCATGGAGTTTGCGATAACACGCAAATGGAATCCCTATTTTAACCAATAGTTGCACCTTAGGGTAGGAAGTTAAAGCCAATTTTATTGAAAAAAAAATAATACGAAAAACCATCACATTAAGGTAAAACTTGTATAATATATTTTTATTAAAACAAAATAAAAAATCAGTAAGCAGCTACAGTTTTTTTACTAAATCAAAACTTTAAATGATTATAAAGGACATTCCATAAAAATGCGAACATAATAAAGAAAATCCCAAATTAATGTATATGGTATAGTAAGGCTGTGCATCTTGTTTTTATGCAACGACTTTATTTATTGGTTATACAAATTAAATTTAAGAACTGGCAATTTACCAAGCGTCATAACTTATTTCTATCAGTGTTTCCAGAAGCATTTATAACATTGTACCAAAGTCAACATGAGATATGTACCAATTTTCAATAAAATGTACCACAAATTTCAGTCCTATCAGTGTTGCCAGAAGCATTTATAACATTGTACCAAAGTCAACATGAGATATGTACCAATTTTAAATAAAATGTACCACAAATTTCAAACGATCCTAAATTAGTCTGTTTTAAACATGGACACAGAAAAATAATATTATTAATTTAAAAAAAATCGTTATACGCTAAAGAAGCATCGGGGTTTCGCAACTCGCGCGCCATCTGGTGGCATTACTAAAGAATAATACATAAAATAATATTTATGTTCTGTGATATTTGTTTAATCTAAAATAAATTATCTCATCTGTTCAATTGAGCTGTTTAAAAAAATGGAAATAATTAAACTAGATTTGTAACAAATAGCTATATATAGTAAATTTAAAAGTAAACTACGTACACGTCATCAATAAAACAAAAATTTTACGCATTGGTACCAACACTAAATGACTAAATCGAAGTCTGTAATTGAATATTTCTGTGGGTAAAAGGCATAAGGGGATAAGTCAAAAAAAGCAATTTTTCAGTACAGCCTTAAACGTATTCGCATTAATTCAGGAAACATATTTATGGTTAGCGGGTATACCTTTTTTTTACCACATCTCATATGCTAACAAAAGCGTATACCCGCTAAAAATAAATATATTTCCTGAATTAATGCAATCACGTTAAAGGCTCTATTGAAAAATTCCTTTTTTTGACTTATCCCCTTATGCATTTTAACCAAATTAAGTTGGCAACAATTGTGATGTTGTCATGTTTACATTCAAATTTTTCATATTTAAATGACACATAAAAAAGAATTTGACGTTTTAGAATTTCGAAGCTGTCAGTTGTGTTTTTGAATATTTCGTTTAATTCGTGTATTATTTCGTTTATTTTGTTTGTTGTTTGTGTTATTTTATATCGTTTAAGTTTTCATTGCCGTTTTTGTGTTTGTTATATATCGTTTTTTTGTGTTTCCTATATTTAAAATGCCGAAGCATTTAAATAGTCATCCTTAATACGCTATTTTGAGGCAGAACGGGATAATAATGGACCTTTGTTACCTTTAACAGCTGTTAGAGAGGTAAATAGGATTATTATTAATTATATATTAGAATATTTAACAAAATATATGTTGGATACATGAAATAATAATATATATACCAGAGACTGACTTTAGATGGCAAAATTTTTGAGTTTTATATCAGAAAATGTCTTTAAAAATGGCTAAAAACATACTTTTGGCGGTGCATTATATAGGTTATAATTTATAAAAACTTATAAAAACTCAGACTTTTGACATTTTCGTATTATTCATGTAAACGCCATCTATCGCCCTGTAGTTGCACTACCACTTTCCCTTGATGCAAGGATTTTAGCATCACATTGACAACCGTGCCCGATCAGCTGATTGATGACGTGTACGTAGTTTACTTTTAAATTTACTATATATATAAATACCTATATATTTATCCTAAAGTTTTTTGCAAAGTTAAATAAATATAAATATAAAATATTCATATAAAACAAAAACATTCTTATAAAACAAAAACTAAACTTAGTACTCTATTGCACAAACAT